TTATTATTATTATTATTATTATTATTATTATTATTATTATTATTATTATTATTATTATTATTATTATTAGAAACACAGGGCCAAATATTTAAACGTAGTTTAGCCAGTGGTTAACAAAAACACGTTCTAAGTCATTTTCAATTTGCCCAACGATTTTATCTAAATATCATTTATTGTGAACAGTTTTATGAAAACATTTAGAGAAGACTAGAAAAGCATTTATTTTCGTAAAACAACCGACCAAAGAAGAGATCTGGAGGTTTAAAGATTCGTTAAACGGCGGCTTAAGTTAGACTTAGTTTAAGTATTTGGCCCACAATTTTCAACCACGTAAAGCGGTAGCTCTTTCTTTCTTACAAAAACTCGTAGTTTGATGGGAAAGTATAACCAGGGAGTTATGAAAAAGACTACCCAAGTGAAAGTAGGATGGGACTCCTTCCCTCATCCCTTTTCCTGTCCGTGTACCTTGTAGGACGGATATTGCTAACAGACCACACCCTTAAGGAACGAATTTGGAAGTGAGAGGGTACGAGGTTAGCATTTCTGGTGGACCTGGTGGCGTAATTAAATGTATCGATATATCCTAGCCTGTTCTTGTGGAAGGTTCCATTGGTACCCTCCCTCCTCCCCCGCAAAATAAAATGCACTTTATTCGATTGTCAACGTATTTAGCACGAAAGTACTAATTCATCATCAAGTCTCATCGCGCCACTAGGCGCCTATATAAGGCCTCCAAAAGTACTAATTGGGGACACCATTTTTACGTCTCCTACGGGACCGGCATTTTACGTGAAGGAAGTACCTTCATTTCTCAGTTATTTTAAGACCCTGAGTATTGGTCCGACCCCGTAATCGAACGCACGACCTTCCCCTCTGTAGTCAAGCGCTCTACCGACTAAGCAATTATGCGAAACTGAAAGTTAAGGAACAGGTATTTAGAATGGTTCCATTTGAAAATTTTTTAAGGATTTTCTTTAAAACACCGAGAGTCGTGGCTCTTTTATCCTGGGCACGAGTACCGAGAAAAATCATTCGTTTCCAATCCCTTTCGAAATGAATGCACGCGTCTTTCCTGGGCATCAGTATGTAAAATCAACATGGCGGCTTTCGTGTGGGCTAGAAGACTTAATCAATCTTCTTTCTTAGGGTGTTTTCTGTCTAATCTCTCCTTTGTATCCGAAAGCCGTAGTTTGTTTAGGTTAGGTCTGTACGCTGGAGATCTCAAAGGTAGAAAGCAGGGGCTTCTTAGACGAGATTTTTCAACTGAAGAGGTAAGTATAAATTTTCGGTACCATGTCACATTGAACAGTACCATAGCTGGCATGTGAAACTACCTGATTATATTGATCTCCCAAGAGATCACTTTCCCATATACGGGATGGATTATTTGACCAATCAACAGCAATCCCCTGTCCCTCAAACAGCAATGGCGTTTTTCAGGTTTCCCTTTTCCGTGTCCAACAAAGGAAATAGAAAATGTCTGCATGCAGGTTCGTGGGGGGGAGGTTAGTAACGGATATTGAAATTAAATATTTGTGTGTCCTCCTACTCCAATTCCAATCGATAGAATGGCTCATTTCTTAATAATTTTTCATTTCTTAGTAATTATTACTATCCCAAGTAGTGCTTTATAATTTTGTCCCTACATCAGATCTTCTTAATCAAAAACAAAATTTTGGGACAGGGATTTGCTCTAGGAGACACCTATGGTGACCTATAGTCCTGCTTTCTCTATGCAGCAAAGTGATGTAGATAAACGAGTCATGATTACATTAAAAAGGGAAGAAACTGAAGGACAAGCATTGTCAGAGCTGCACGAAAAGGATCTTCTTGATTACTTTTCCTCTTATGGAAAAATTCAGCATGTAAATTGGATCCGAGACAGGACAACTAACGCTGTCAAGGGCTATGGATTTGTCACGTTTTACGACACAGATTCATTTAAGGAGGCCGTGAAAAGAAAGCGGCATATGCTGGGTGGAAGGCAAGTTAATGTGTTTCCAGCTACCGAAAGGGAGAAAAACTCCAGCATTCAAAAAAGGAAGATTGTAGTTAAGCGACGTAGAGGATGGAAAGGAGAAATGGATTTGACAAGGATACAGGATTACTTCTCAAAGTTTGGAGAGATAGAGAATGTCGATGCAAAAAACCTGCAAATCAAAGGATACATGCATATCACTTTTAAAAACGAAGAAAGTGTGGAAAGTATTTTATTGGATAATCAGCATGACATTGATGGTGAGATAATGTTTGTGTTGAGAACACACAGTTCTGATCAGCAATGGAATCAGTGGCGATTAGAGAAAGAGCTAATCCATAAATTGAAGATCCTAAAGGATAAGGAAGGTCTCCAAGTTAATGAGAAGATGGGAACTCATGTAACAGTTGTGATTCCCAAAAAGTTTAAGCATTGTATCAATGAAGAAAGTTTAGAAGAGCACTTTTCTTCTTACGGAGAAATTGAGAAAGCATTTATCCTACGTAATGAAGTCACGATGGAATCAAAAGGATGTGGGATGGTTACATTTAAAGACTCCCATGTTGTGAAAGAGATCCTTGCAGCTGGAAAACATAAGATAGATGATGTTGAAATTTTTGTGAAGAAGTCATTGATCGATCATGAGTAAGCTTAAGATGTTACTGTACTTTTAAAAAGCAAAATGGCATCTTCCTTTGCTCAGTTCTTTTTAGCAAACATCGTAGCAAGAAATTAAGTAGCATTCAAAATTCAGTGAAAGGGGAATGGCTGTCTTTGTTAAGAAGCATCAGTGATAAAGTAGTAATTCTGGTTTCAGGGTTCGCAAATACGCCAAATTTGGCGTATTTTACACCAAAATTGTTCAGATGACTCCACTGAGGTTACGGAGGGAGTCACTTCGACTCCAGAAATTTTCGGTAACAAACAGGGAGCCACTTCGACTCCAGAAATTTTTGGTAACAAACACAGTTTTGTCCTTATCTTTTTCGCAACAAATACAATTTGCGTTAATTGTAAACGTTGTAAACCTTAATTAAATCATCAAAATTAAAGAATTATACTGCACGACAAAACAGGAAGAGGGTAAATTACGATCAAAGTTTACTCGATGACCGCCATCATGGATTTTAGCTTTCACTGCAATTAGACCTATTGTTGTTTTTCACAGTTCTGGTCAAGGGCATCCAACTTTTAATTTTTCACATTTCACTCACCGGGTTAGGCTATTTTTCGTAGAGAGTAAAATGGAATCCTAAAATTTTCGGATTAAAAAATGTGATGAAAGAAGGTATCTTAAAAATTATCTCCTTCGTAATACGTTAAATTGCATCTAAAGTTTTCAGGAAAATAATTCTGAATTCCTCGTAATTTCGAAAAGACTCGAGTTCCTCTAGAATGGCCGAACACTGAGATACAAATTTTATAGCGCCACTTTGAAGGCATTTCTATAGAGCTAAAAGTACTTTATGAATAGCTACAAAAGTGTTTTCAATTGAAAGTATTTGAGGAAACATTCGTTGGGTGGCCCTGTCTCGTTGCCTTCTCCGTTTAGCATTACACGATATATTTTATATTTAGTATGAGCAAACTATAAATCATTAGCTTCGCTTTTAGCCCTCCTGACTAAATTCATGTAAGCGCTGTTTAGAATGCATTTTTCGATCAAAAGTACTCTGGACAGCCTTAAATGTATTTTCAATGCATTTAGGGGGAAATCATCGTTGGGTGCCCCTGAGTTTTGAAAATAATAATATTAATAATAAAAAGATATCGCGCACATAAACTTTACTTTACGATATCTTCAGCTGTATCTTCTATTCAGCTACATAGCAGAGGCCAGATTTTGCCTTTTTCCTGGGCGGAAAATTGTCGTCCTCCTTCACCAGTTTGGACAACATTTTATGGAGTAAGACGTTGTTAATCTAAGCAAATAAGTCTGGTAGAGTCAAGAACCTTTGCAAGCGGCTGGACGAACAATGTGACAGCAGCTGAGACAGCGAACTTTAGAAGAATTCGAACTTGAAAACCAGGGCTGCCCTGTTGAAAACTTAGGGACGGTCCCGCGATCGCCTTTTGTTTTCTGGTCAAAACTAACGCAGCGAACCTTCAGTCAGTCGATTGACCTAGAAGCAATAGTACCATCCCTCCCATAGCAAGTGCTGCATTGTTGCGCGAACGCGGTCGCTAAGCTTGAATATTCACGTCGCGTATTAAACCTGGTCGTTTGCGGTCATATCGAAGCGTAAANTGCCCAACGATTTTATCTAAATATCATTTATTGTGAACAGTTTTATGAAAACATTTAGAGAAGACTAGAAAAGCATTTATTTTCGTAAAACAACCGACCAAAGAAGAGATCTGGAGGTTTAAAGATTCGTTAAACGGCGGCTTAAGTTAGACTTAGTTTAAGTATTTGGCCCACAATTTTCAACCACGTAAAGCGGTAGCTCTTTCTTTCTTACAAAAACTCGTAGTTTGATGGGAAAGTATAACCAGGGAGTTATGAAAAAGACTACCCAAGTGAAAGTAGGATGGGACTCCTTCCCTCATCCCTTTTCCTGTCCGTGTACCTTGTAGGACGGATATTGCTAACAGACCACACCCTTAAGGAACGAATTTGGAAGTGAGAGGGTACGAGGTTAGCATTTCTGGTGGACCTGGTGGCGTAATTAAATGTATCGATATATCCTAGCCTGTTCTTGTGGAAGGTTCCATTGGTACCCTCCCTCCTCCCCCGCAAAATAAAATGCACTTTATTCGATTGTCAACGTATTTAGCACGAAAGTACTAATTCATCATCAAGTCTCATCGCGCCACTAGGCGCCTATATAAGGCCTCCAAAAGTACTAATTGGGGACACCATTTTTACGTCTCCTACGGGACCGGCATTTTACGTGAAGGAAGTACCTTCATTTCTCAGTTATTTTAAGACCCTGAGTATTGGTCCGACCCCGTAATCGAACGCACGACCTTCCCCTCTGTAGTCAAGCGCTCTACCGACTAAGCAATTATGCGAAACTGAAAGTTAAGGAACAGGTATTTAGAATGGTTCCATTTGAAAATTTTTTAAGGATTTTCTTTAAAACACCGAGAGTCGTGGCTCTTTTATCCTGGGCACGAGTACCGAGAAAAATCATTCGTTTCCAATCCCTTTCGAAATGAATGCACGCGTCTTTCCTGGGCATCAGTATGTAAAATCAACATGGCGGCTTTCGTGTGGGCTAGAAGACTTAATCAATCTTCTTTCTTAGGGTGTTTTCTGTCTAATCTCTCCTTTGTATCCGAAAGCCGTAGTTTGTTTAGGTTAGGTCTGTACGCTGGAGATCTCAAAGGTAGAAAGCAGGGGCTTCTTAGACGAGATTTTTCAACTGAAGAGGTAAGTATAAATTTTCGGTACCATGTCACATTGAACAGTACCATAGCTGGCATGTGAAACTACCTGATTATATTGATCTCCCAAGAGATCACTTTCCCATATACGGGATGGATTATTTGACCAATCAACAGCAATCCCCTGTCCCTCAAACAGCAATGGCGTTTTTCAGGTTTCCCTTTTCCGTGTCCAACAAAGGAAATAGAAAATGTCTGCATGCAGGTTCGTGGGGGGGAGGTTAGTAACGGATATTGAAATTAAATATTTGTGTGTCCTCCTACTCCAATTCCAATCGATAGAATGGCTCATTTCTTAATAATTTTTCATTTCTTAGTAATTATTACTATCCCAAGTAGTGCTTTATAATTTTGTCCCTACATCAGATCTTCTTAATCAAAAACAAAATTTTGGGACAGGGATTTGCTCTAGGAGACACCTATGGTGACCTATAGTCCTGCTTTCTCTATGCAGCAAAGTGATGTAGATAAACGAGTCATGATTACATTAAAAAGGGAAGAAACTGAAGGACAAGCATTGTCAGAGCTGCACGAAAAGGATCTTCTTGATTACTTTTCCTCTTATGGAAAAATTCAGCATGTAAATTGGATCCGAGACAGGACAACTAACGCTGTCAAGGGCTATGGATTTGTCACGTTTTACGACACAGATTCATTTAAGGAGGCCGTGAAAAGAAAGCGGCATATGCTGGGTGGAAGGCAAGTTAATGTGTTTCCAGCTACCGAAAGGGAGAAAAACTCCAGCATTCAAAAAAGGAAGATTGTAGTTAAGCGACGTAGAGGATGGAAAGGAGAAATGGATTTGACAAGGATACAGGATTACTTCTCAAAGTTTGGAGAGATAGAGAATGTCGATGCAAAAAACCTGCAAATCAAAGGATACATGCATATCACTTTTAAAAACGAAGAAAGTGTGGAAAGTATTTTATTGGATAATCAGCATGACATTGATGGTGAGATAATGTTTGTGTTGAGAACACACAGTTCTGATCAGCAATGGAATCAGTGGCGATTAGAGAAAGAGCTAATCCATAAATTGAAGATCCTAAAGGATAAGGAAGGTCTCCAAGTTAATGAGAAGATGGGAACTCATGTAACAGTTGTGATTCCCAAAAAGTTTAAGCATTGTATCAATGAAGAAAGTTTAGAAGAGCACTTTTCTTCTTACGGAGAAATTGAGAAAGCATTTATCCTACGTAATGAAGTCACGATGGAATCAAAAGGATGTGGGATGGTTACATTTAAAGACTCCCATGTTGTGAAAGAGATCCTTGCAGCTGGAAAACATAAGATAGATGATGTTGAAATGTTTGTGAAGAAGTCATTGATCGATCATGAGTAAGCTTAAGATGTTACTGTACTTTTAAAAAGCAAAATGGCATCTTCCTTTGCTCAGTTCTTTTTAGCAAACATCGTAGCAAGAAATTAAGTAGCATTCAAAATTCAGTGAAAGGGGAATGGCTGTCTTTGTTAAGAAGCATCAGTGATAAAGTAGTAATTCTGGTTTCAGGGTTCGCAAATACGCCAAATTTGGCGTATTTTACACCAAAATTGTTCAGATGACTCCACTGAGGTTACGGAGGGAGTCACTTTGACTCCAGAAATTTTCGGTAACAAACAGGGAGCCACTTCGACTCCAGAAATTTTTGGTAACAAACACAGTTTTGTCCTTATCTTTTTCGCAACAAATACAATTTGCGTTAATTGTAAACGTTGTAAACCTTAATTAAATCATCAAAATTAAAGAATTATACTGCACGACAAAACAGGAAGAGGGTAAATTACGATCAAAGTTTACTCGATGACCGCCATCATGGATTTTAGCTTTCCAGGTCAGCGGACCGACACAGCTACTTTGTGTATCCCTCACGATAGTGTAAACATGCCAGGACCACGTGCTGGAAAGTCTGAAAATGGCTTTTTTCGTTGTGATACTTGACTCCAAATATTCCAAAATGACTCCAAAATTTGTGAAGCAGAAGTCACAGTGACTCCACTCATCAATAAAATTTGCAAACCCTGTGGTTTTATCCTCTGAATATAATTTGTGAGTGTAAATGCTGTTAGGCTATTTTTTGAGTGAATCATTTACATGTTAATCAAAACATCACCTTACAAAACAAATTTCAAGGAAGTATAATATTTTTATTGAAAAGATTGTTTTGTTCTATACAGATTAATCTAAGAAAGCATTGTGCCTTCTTTACCTGTTTTAAAGTAGTTGCTAGGATGTTGGTAATATATCTTTTTTGAAATTCCTTCTACCTATTGATATATTTATAAATTAATGTTAATGTTTTTTTTTTGTCGTGGTGAGTCAAAGAATAACACTTTATTAAGGGTATTACATGATCAACAATAACCACTATACTGGCACTCTGAATTCTCAGTTACCAAACAGTCTTCCAAAAGGTAGACATCCTAGTAAAATGTGGACTGCCGACAAGTTGAACATGTGAAAATCACAAGAGGTGAAATGTGATGTCTGTGTATAAGGGGTGAGCAATGCAAGGCACAATAGTTGAAGTAACTTTTTGCCACTATCATTTTCCTGATATCTAATAGACTTTCTTAGTCCTTCGCTTCTCATTTCCAGTTCCGACAGTAGGCCCCGACACAAAGGACTAGCCTGTGAACACCGGAAGTACATCTGTGTTCGCAGGCTAAAACAAGTCAATCTCACGCTCTCTCACTCATGTTTATGGCAGAAAACATAAAAAAATGTCCTGCTTTCACTTCGTGCTGGAGGAAAACTTTGAGCTCAACTTATCGGCAAGTCTACATACCTTACAGCTTTTCTCTTTTTGCCCTTGCCCTAGCTATTTCGTTTAAAAGCTTTTTAATTTTTGCTCTTATGCAGACATTATACATGTATGCCTCTTAGCATATTTAAGTGTGCTTGTCATGCAGGCCAAAGACACTGTTGCAAGATGTACACCTTTGTAAGGTAGAAACTCCGTTCAATCTTTCTTGTACTAAAGCTGCTCAAAAAATGTTCCCAGTGCTAACTGGAGCTCTTTAAGAACCGAGATCATAGATCCAGGATCTCCAGGGTTGCTTCTGTTTGTGGATTTAACAACATGTAAGACTTCAGTTGTCATGTCCTTGATTTCCTTGAGCTCATCTGTGCAGGCTTTGACTTTCATTTCTTTATCTTTGTTTTTGTTTGCTGTGAATACATAACACACAATAACAAATCAGCTAGATTTAACTCTTTCACTCTGAGAGTGTGTTATGAAGACTTGTGACCTGACTTTTGAGTTTGTGGACGACATTTTTATGTATTATGTGAATGTAGTTTCACTCGATACTCTTTGGCTTGAGCGTAATGAGTTTGAAGACATAAAGTCATCATACGGGCACCCAAAGAATATTACTTTGTGAGAACAACCCATCAAAAGCTTCCGAAATGTTTCCTTCCGCCCACCTAACCAATCAGATTGCTTCATGCCAGTTTTCAGTTGTAATTCTGTTTATACGTTCATACGAAAATCGCTTCATTTGCTTGAATCAATAATTATAAGAGCGCATCCTGAAACAAGATTCAGGCCTGATTTCCTTTGTATGCTGGCCTTACTCCCTGACAGAGATTGTACAAGTCATAGTACCCACCTTTTGATGTACGGCGAATGATGACTGCGACTTTCTTTAAGACAACATGTATAATGCCACTCGCCATTTCAACGTGACTGACAGGAAAACAGAAAAAAAAACGAAAAAGTTTTTTCAACCAGAATGCACTTTGTTTTATAGGATACATCATTACAATCAAAGATTTCAGTCTTCCTTGCAGCTAATATGGCTCTTTTTGACCTATTTGTAACCTTGCCGTGGCGCAAGTGCCAGTCAATCTGACTTAAATCAAGGGCCAAATACAACGCCTGTTCGAGAAAAAAAAAATGCACGTTTTTTTTCTTTCCTCCTCTCTCTCTTCCACGGTTTCAGTTTGTTGTCCTGCTTTTCTCATATTTCGTTACGTGCACGTCAACTGAATGGCCGGCCGCAACACTATGGAGGAATTTAGGCACGATATTTCTGCCGTGTAGACCCGAAATAAGTTTTGGTTATGCATTAACTACAAAGTCTGAACCAATCAAATAGTGTTTACCTGTACTCTGAAATAGAGTTTTGCGTGTTATGTTTATGTTTAGCCTTCTATGAAGTAGTGAGCTCTAGCCGTTTATTTATATCCACCATAAATACCGTAATACAGGATAAAAACATAGACAAGTAGTACTTGTTGAATAAAAGCGAAATTATATTAAACCTGGCATGATGTTGGGCAGAAATGAATCCTTTAAGCTTTGGAAGGACTAGCACAAAAAGATCCAGAGACCACATTGAACTGTTGACGAAAACAGAGGAAAGTACGTTATTTCTATCCAGGAGCCTTACCTAGTACCAGTTTGTATGAATCACTCCCATAGATAAGCTGTAGGAATATATCTTATCTCCGATCCTACATGTAACTAGGACCCAGCAGGATTTTTCCTTGGTTTCGAAAACTAAAGATTTTTTCTTTACTAAAATGCCTCCCAAAGGCACGGAGAAAACTCGTGGCTAGAGGGTTCTCCAAGTAATCTTGCTGTGATTTTTACAAAGAGGTCCAACTTCTACCGTAATAGTAGGAACGCAACACTTTCTTGTTCTCCTTACCATTTAATTAAAGATTATATGTTGAAGGATTTACCGCTATGCAGGAGGGGTTGATTAGGGAAGAGGTTCGAGAGAGGTGATTAAGGGTCATTCAAGTCGTTCATATCTCATAAAAGTGCCTACTATAATTTTTGAAACAGAAGATATTGAAAATTAGCCAGGTTAAATATGAGATTTTCTTCATTTCGAAGAATTTACGTTCTTGAACGACTTTTCCCCATTTAGAAATAAAAGGAAGTAGGCGCAAACATTCGGCGCAACGATTTCTGGGATTATTTGGGTGGGCAAGCGTAGCCCACGTTCGATATATTAAAATTCTAACATGAAAACCAACAAAACCGACTTGCGGTTTCTCTTTTGTACCCACTCTCCCTCAGGAGAGTTTCTAGAGTGGGGAATTTTAATTCAATTGATCTCACCAACTGCTGGGTAACTGTTGAAGTATGTTCAGGAACAGTGCATAGTCACGTGCTTCTTGTGAATATAAAGAAGTCTCTTGTTCAACATTTGTCATCCCAGTCAAATTAATGCAGGCCTTTATAGCGTCTATTGGCTTTCCGCCATTCCACAGCTCATGAACATGAAGGATTATCTAGGGAAGGTGTTCAAGTCTATCATTAGAGGGATTTTCACACCATCATTTAGCTTGAATACCTATTAGGCCTATGGATTGGGGCGATGATGATACTGTTGAAGATCTGTATAATTTTGATGGGGATGATGACTTTGGTAATGATGATGATGACGATAATGACGATGATGACGATGATGATGATGATGGTGACGATGATGATGAAGATGACGAATGATGATGATGATGACGATGGCAATACTGATGATGATGATAATGCTGCTGCTGCTGATGATGATGATGATTATGATGATAGCTCTGTTTGTGGTGGTGGTGATTGACTTACATTTGTGCTAGAAGTTACCGAGGAATGTCTCTTACCCAGGTCCTTCTTGATAGGGAATCGTAAACGTCTCGATGGTCACTTAGCATGTTCTCAAACAATACATCATCCTACAAGTTAAAACATACTGCTCTTATACTCCAAAGAATTAAAAAGCAATGTGAAAAGATGTGTCTACTTTCTAAACAGAAGTCACGGAATAGCCTAATTTTTTAGTGAAGTCACTAACCTCTGATACCACTGGACAAGATGACGACCGAAATTGTTTTGTCATAGTGTTACAAGACAAAGTAGAGGAATGTGAGCTACGCAAATTTCTTTCCTGGGTCTCCAAGGGACTCCAATGCTTTCTCTCTGATGCCTGAGATTCAGATACAGTCCTTTTATAAAGAAACCTTCGAAGAAAGGAGGGTTCATTACTAAAAGAACTCTTTTCATCTGCTATCAAGCGTCCAGTCTTTGTTAGATCTATATTAGACACAACTGAACCGAACATTTTAGACGGAACATTCGGATCTTCTTCAGAATCTTTCGGATTGAAATCATTAAAGTCTTCAGAAGGTGTCCTATCAGGACACATTTTTACGTCCGTTTGAGTTTTGTTCGTATTTTCCTTGCCTTTGGAATTGCCATGTAACGCCCGCGATCCTAACTGTAGCGTCTGATTAATCAAAGCAAGATTTTCATCCCGTTCTTGGAGAGCTTGTTCGTATGTTACCATGTGGATTCCAAATCCAGATGAGACATCATTAGATCGCTGAATATTATTCTCTGTGTTTACAAGTGAGTGGTGACGAAAAAGTTCATTGTCACTGGAATGATATTCATGCCCTTTTCCTAGTATAAAATCCCCACCCTTGTTTTGAGACTTAAGTTCATTCAATTCATCTGACGAGTGGGAGCCGCTCTGCATTGACCCGCCTTCGTAACTTGATTCTAGCGAGTCCAACAACGTTCTTTCCAGGAATTCCTCAAACTGGGAATCATTCTTAGATCCTGCATCAGCGTCTTCTTTGCTTCTTGAGCACATGTCAGAGTCCTTGTCTAATAGGAGAGAATCATTGGTTTTCAGCGATTCAAAACTGATTTCAGTCGGAAATGAGCGTGAATATTTCCAGACCTTACTAAAACTCGGGCTTTTTACTTCTTCTTGACGCATGTTACCATTTAGGTCTTCGTAGCACCAATTTACCGTTTCCTTTTGCACTAGTTTGTTTTTAGCCTTAAGAACTATTTCGGCGACAAATTTTACTGCAATATCTTTGGCCGTCTCCTTGACGCATCTCGAAAATGCCACTTCACATATCTTTCCAACAATCGTAGTAGCAAACGTTTGTAGACTACGCGCCTCATGAGCTCCAAATGGCTCTATTGAAAAGGAATCTGATCCCGACAAGTTTGATGAACTTTGCCACTCCATTTCGATTGATCCAATATGTTTTATGGTCCTGCCTTTACTGTTTGCTGTTTCACACTCTCTATTTCCAACCTTGGAAGAATCGTTCTCCTCTGTTGACTTTTTTGACAGATAAAAACCAACAAAGGAGTCACTGGCCGAAACGTCACTAGAAGAGTACCATTCAGGTTGGTTACTTTGCACGCATTTAGGATCTACCCTGTAAGAGCTTTCGTCCTTTTCGCTTTTGCACGATACCAAATTTACGCCATGCTTTCTTCTTTCTTGACAATTCTTTGTATGCAGAGGCCTGATTAAATTGCTCTCAAAATCTGGGTTTTGCTCGTTAGTGTCAGACTTCCTTTTTTCTTTTTCTTTGCCCTTTCTTGTCAGAGAACACTTGACAGGCATGCTTTTATCTTGACCTTTTCTCTTTTCTTTTTCGTTAGCACTTGTTTTGCGCAAGAACTGTGGACGAGACAGCACAGGTGTGGCTAAAATGCCCGCTTTGGAAACCTGGGACTGAGCCTCGATACCAAGTAGATTCGACTGTTCTCGACATTCTTGTGTACTATTTTCCGTATCAGAACAGTACCCTGTTGAAAAAACAAAACAAAACAACAATAACAACACCAACAAAAATCATTGTCTTTTTGTCGTTTCAACGGTTAATGTATAAAATACGTTCCATACCTTTTTTCTACGTTCGCTTTATGTCATCTACAAGGAGCCGATTACTCTTTACTGTGTGCGTTTTTATGGAGTGATTGTTAACCTGGGGGAGGGGGATACTCCGTTATATAAGCTATATAGGTATGTGCCGCCCCATCGGGTATACGGTTTTTGCGCCTCCCCTTCGGAAGATAGTTGTATATTGTCCATACAAAGAAAAATAAGAGACTGCTCGCAGTCTGCTAAAAACTGGTAGGAGATTTCCGTAGATAAACGAGGCAGAAAGAAAGAGTGAATATGCGAATTCGAAATGGCTTTGAGGAATTTTTTTGTTTGCGCTTTTCTAAGTAATGATAACATGATTTCTGCCTCAAGGCCAGGTCTGAAAACGGGTATGGATTTTAGAGGGCTGGTCTGAAAACGGGTGAGGAAAATTACATTATTTGGTCTGAAATAGGGTCAGGATTTGGAGAATCGAGTGGCACGCCCACACCAAGAATTGCCAGGAGTACCCTCCGGGTGTTAACAAACTCATGTTGTTAATTTGGTAATACACTCGACTCCCGATAATTTTAACCTTCAAGGGAAATAGAAAAAAGTTGGTGTTACCGGGAGTTCGAGTTATCGAGGGTAAATTATATAGAAAACGATCTGAAGGGAAATGAAAATTGCTTCGAGCTCGAGTAAGCGGGAGGTTCGAGTTATAGAGGGTTCGAGTTGTCGTGAGTCAACTGTATATACCTCGTGAAGTTTGTAGTCCTCTTGATAAGTTTATCCTGGTTTCTTCTTTCCTGGAAAAACAATTATGAGAAGAATCTTGGGATGAGAGAGAGGTATTCACTTTTCACCCGGCCACACGGTATTTGGAGCTAAATGTTTCACATCATTTGCTAATATACTTAAAACGCAAAACCCTTAATTCAAGGCAAAATAAATGTATAATAGTCAATTCTTTCGGTTTCTTTCGAATACCCTGGTACCGTCTCCGTTAGCATATTCGCAAGTACTATGACGCCCTAGCAAGTACCCTCTTTGACTAAGAAATCCAGCTAAAAAGATAAGCCAAAAGATGGGAGAGATCCTTGAAATCACTTTCGTATCTCTATAACTACTGGCAACAAACCTTTTCATTGTTTTTCCAGGCCGTATGCAGCTCAACCAATTGGCACCTAATTCGTTTTTCTCTTCATCCTTCATGTCTTTAATTTTTTTCAAGTTGATAAGCTTCAGGGTCTTCGGCAAAACTTGGTCTTTGAGAAAGCCCAACAGCTCTTTACACTGCTTAGCGGGACGACCATTCTTGATGGTTACATTTAGCGTAGCCAAGGCGGGTCCGTGAGGTTTATGGTACTTTTTACACATCTCTCGAATTTGTAAGTTGAGNGGGATGAGAGAGAGGTATTCACTTTTCACCCGGCCACACGGTATTTGGAGCTAAATATTTCACATCATTTGCTAATATACTTAAAACGTAAAACCCTTAATTCAAGGCAAAATAAATGTATAATAGTCAATTCTTTCGGTTTCTTTCGAATACCCTGGTACCGTCTCCGTTAGCATATTCGCAAGTACTATGACGCCCTAGCAAGTACCCTCTTTGACTAAGAAATCCAGCTAAAAAGATAAGCCAAAAGATGGGAGAGATCCTTGAAATCACTTTCGTATCTCTATAACTACTGGCAACAAACCTTTTCCTTGTTTTTCCAGGCCGTATGCAGCTCAACCAATTGGCACCTAATTCGTTTTTCTCTTCATCCTTCATGTCTTTAATTTTTTTCAAGTTGATAAGCTTCAGGGTCTTCGGCAAAACTTGGTCTTTGAGAAAGCCCAACAGCTCTTTACACTGCTTAGCGGGACGACCATTCTTGATGGTTACATTTAGCGTAGCCAAGGCGGGTCCGTGAGGTTTATGGTACTTTTTACACATCTCTCGAATTTGTAAGTTGAGATGGAGCCCATCTCCGTTAGTTTCGTCTCCAGCCTGGATATAATAATAATAATAATAATGATGATGATGATGATGATGATGATGATGATAACTAGTTATAATTATAATAACTGGTAATAACCCAAGGTTACGAAGTACGGGCGACAACGATCGAAGCAAAACGCTTTTGGTCGATCGCTGCTGTGCTTTACGTAAGTTTCGCGTGACAAATTGTCCAAAAAACGCGTGATCCGATTACGATTGACAATAGGTCCAAACGCGCGTGATCAAATTGCGCTATGTGCGTTCCATTCATTCGTAGTGGAAGTCCAAACAAATACATGAGACGCATGCGCAATAACAACCTAGAGATTAGGATTGCGGGCTCCTCTTGTCGCCCGTAATAAAGAGAAACTGCAAGGATGTGGGACATGAGAACTGTGCAGGTGATACCGATTGTTGTAGGATCATTGGGAAGTGTGACAAATACCTTGGATAAGTGGCTGGAAAAGTTGCACAAAAGAATTAGTATTTCATTTTTAAAAAAACTACGCTACTAGAAACAGCAAGGATTTTAAGGAAAGTTTTGGAGTTACATGGGAAAGGAGGTGAACTCTAAGGGGCCTTTGGTCATGGGTTATGACTAGCTTCCTTAGCAAGTTAATCGGTATGAGATCAGCCAGTGTACAAAGCAAGAAATAATAATAATAATAACAATAATAATAATAATAATAATAATAATAATAGTAACAATGATAATAATAATAATAATAATAATAATAATAATAATAATAATAAACACATGGATTTACGTTTATCTTTTTTGTATGAACGTTCAGATGACACTACTAAGAAAACTCAGCTGTGTTAGTCAAAAAAATAAAAAATAAAAAGCACGAAATTTAACGGACGACTTATGAAATCAGTATTGAACAAAAGTGAACCGCGTATTGAATATTCATATCAATTCAGCATTTAGCAATTAACTTACAAGACAAATCGAATTGAAATGACGCTAAATTCAGTTTGAGATTTTATATTAAATGAAATAAGGCAGGTACTATTTAGTGCTCTGCATACGAATATTCGTCCCTTTTGGGCCAATGTACTGAAGAAAAAAATTCCCTCCTCTTTCGCCGCCAAAACAAAGCTCTCAACGGGAGAGAAATACTTGACGCCAATTTCATTTGAATGAATAACATGAAAATGTACAAAGTAAAAAGTAAATCTTCTGTCTTGCGAACCTTTAACGCCAGTCTAATCCTACATATTTCGTTTTTTTCCTCTTTCAAGCAACAGCAAAGGGAAATTTTTTTTGTCTTTTTTACAGAGTCTACAGGCTGTAAGGAAGATTTCAAAATTAAAATGTATGTGGCAAAATATTTACGGATCTCTTAGTGTATTTCACAGAAAAAGCATAGATTAGAATATCGTCTCCGGCGCCTTGCGAAGGCTCGCTTCGACTTGCTACCTTGAAAATATTTAGTACAGACCTCGATTTGAGCATCACAGCTAAATTTCTTGCCTATAAGAGAAATTGCTGGCATTTTGGTTTCGTTAGCTGATTCCCCTTTCGTCTTCTCCGCCGAAGCCAAGCAACAAACAAATTTTCTTAGCTTCGTTTCCGACAATAGCAGGTGAACTCTGTAGGCGCTAAATACATTAGCATAAATTATTTATAATTTTTGACACATTGTCACACGCCTAAAACGCTTTTTCCTATTGGAAGAAATCAAGGCGAGTTGGTCTTTAGCTGATAAAAACATTACCAATTTTTATCTGTAAATCTGTTAAATGTGTTTCACACATTAAAATTTTACCGTTGAAGGATTTGCTCTATTCATAAACAATAATGGGCCAAGGAGTGCAGCTGAGTTCAGAATTGACTGACGAGAGCTAACGTATTCATAGAGCAACAGGTTTCGCTCTCGCTATCACTGATACGAAATCCTTTGGCAACAAAACCTTCGAAAATATTATATCCCTAACCGGAAGGACTTGGCATCATATCTTATAGACAATATTTTCTCTCGCTCTCTTTTTGTTTCTTTTTTTTAATTCGAGGTTCTTCTACGGGAGGAATTAGTGGTCACAAAAATAATAATACAGGAAAGATATCAAATTCTACTTTCATCGGCTGCTGACAAGCTAATTACTGGTTTGTTCCATTGATAAGATGTGTTTTCGTCAATGGCTGGTTATATGAAATATTTAAGTTACCACTTTAGACGCCACGAAGTGAAACGTTATGATTATATTATTACCTTTCAGAGCGTTACGTTTCTTTCCTTCGCCTGACACTTTGATGCTTTCTTCATTGTTTTTTAAATCTTCCTTTTTCATAGTTCTATGCAAAATTCATGAAGGTAGCTGAACAGGTATATTTGCCGTAATTTGCTTTTCAGTCTGTTTATGTGACCGCTATTCGATTAGACAAGATTGAAGAAGCTTAATTAATTCACATACACGAAACTTATTACAATGGAACCTCGATATAACGAAGGGCCTAGGGACTGGCAAAATCTGTTCGCTATAACGAGGTTTCATTAAATCGAGGCTCTTTTTCATATATTTTACTACTACTGGGGCAAAAAACATCGTTCGTTATACCGAGGACTTCGAGGACTTTGCAGTTCCGCTGTATATGTCAGGTTTGCTAGGCAACTCTAACTTTGTCAGTTTGGGTAAAACTGTTGTGTTTCACTCATTTATGATATAAATGTAAAGAAAATAATCGTCTCGACATAACAATTACCATTAAATAACGAAACAGTTGACATTGTTGGATTAGTTAGGAAAAATTGCTGGGTCGAATGCAAAAACACTTAAACTTAAAGTTGGTAATCCCCTCCCGTTTCAGCACCTGCAATTTTACCAAAATAAATAAATAGTAATAATAACAATAATAATAATAATAATAATAATAATAATAATAATAATAATAATAATATAGCAATAAAAAAAATTCATTTCAGTTAAAAAAAACTCATTTCAATTAAAAACAACAACAATAACAATAGTAATAATAATAATAATAATAATAATAATAATAATAACAGGGCTCAAACAACAGATTTTAGAGCTGGTTTTTAATAGTAGGAATTTTTTTTTATTGATGTGCAGTCATCTCATCTGACTCTTTCTTCCATACAAGCCTTCGAAAATACAAAGGATGTCCATGAAAGGTTCCCCTTTGTTCTTTCAAAACTCTCTCTACCTCCCTTTTATCAGAAAATCTGACAATACAAATCAACTTTCTATCAACTAACACTCGATGCTGGTTCAAGAATACTCCATTTGGAACAACTCCAAAAGTTTTTTCAAAGTACTCTTGCACAGCCGTAGGCCGCGTTGCCAATGGGAGACCCTCAACAGACAGTTTCAGCTCTCGGAGCCTTGCTGATGCAAGATTGCTTGGATCATGATATCTTGATACTTTGACCTCTGATCCATTAATGATATGAAACTTGTTTTCTAAAATGCCATCAACTATGTCTTCATGTGGAAAACGAACAAAAGCCACATTGGCATCTTTGTCAAAACTGTAAGACGCATTGCCACCATGTACAATGAAGTCAACACACTCAACAATGCCAAACTTTTCAAAGTAATCTCTTAAGTTCTCCACAGTTAAATCATCAGGAACTGACGTTATGGAGATACATTTGGTTTTTCCTGAGAATTCCTTGGTTTTACGTGGGAACTCCATAACTTGGGCATCAATGTCTTGGTATGCGATCTTTTGGGTTGGTTGCTCAAGTGCTTTCTTCACTGCAGATAATGACCTAAACATCACGTAGTAGCTGCAAACATTTTCATCTTTTGGATCCTTGTGAGCTAAGAACACTTTATTGACTTCTCCAAATTGAGAAAAGTGATCTTCAATCTCCTTTCTGCAAACGTTCTTTGATATCTTGTTCACAAGCACAGTCAATTCTTTCTTTTGACGTTCAGCTGGCTTCGCCATTTTCAATGGAATGTCTATCGTGACGTTATGACCATCGATAATGTGGGAGTCTGCTCTTGCAAGAACTTTCTGAGCACTTTTGGCATCGCGGAACGTCACAAAGGCGAACCCTCGAGGGAAATTAGTAAGCTTGTGGCGAAAGTATTGCAGTTTCTCAATCTCACCATACTGCGAGAAATATTTAAAAACTGTATCCTCAGTAGTGTAATCTTTACCCTTCAGAAGATTTCCAACGTGTAGTCTCCGGATACTTGTGTCAACTGTTCTCAGATCTCTCTTTTCTTCATGTCCCGGAGATTGTACGTCACTCAAGTCTGCCGACGTAGAAAAGACATTATGCACTTTGAGAGATCGTAAAAGTGGAAGAAACGATGGGCCAGTGCGGCAGAATACAGAATTTGCGGATGTTGATCGAAGGACGAACAGCGCCATCTTGAATTCTCGAGAGTATCCTTAAGTACGAAATGAATCATGGGAAGCACTTTCGTCGTGCCAGTACTCCTCTTTAGCCGCGGTCTCGCGGGAAGCGAGAAAAGCACTCGAGACTCGTGAACACCTTATAAACAGCCAATCTCGACCCCCAGGCGAGTGGCAAAAGATGCCACAATCAATCTCGACCCAGAGCTCTTCTGCGCATGCAGAGGAGAGAGATCTTACGCGCGCATTCCCAAACCCCTAAGCATTGGGGACGAGAAGGATGCCATGATGCCACACCCACACCATCTGCTCGACCCTGGTGCCGTCATGCGCAGAAGAGCTCTGGGGTCGAGAATGATAAATAGCGAAAACTGGAAACAAAAAATTGCAAATGAATCAAATGACCACTGACGATCATGGTCTAGCCTTCCATGCAAACTTCTTACGGATCCTTCATACCCCAGCTATCGTCCCAATGAAGAACTGCCCTGAGCTGATGTAAGAGCTAAGACAAGAGCCCATCTGTGAAAAGCTATGTTAAAGGCTGACCACTAACTTTAAAGTCTGATGAGAAAATGACTCCTATGTAAAAACTCCTTTTCTCACAAGTGGCTTTGCTCTTGGCCTTACTTGTTAGCATGGTGATACACTCTATTTTTTATAAGAATGTTGTTTTTCCCACCCAGGCTGAATATTCTTATTTTTCTATCGATCTTAGGCTGAAAATATTCTTGTACTTATTCCTAAATTATAGCTTATGACATTTTCGTTCCAGAATATACTGGGTATCAATTATAGCTAGTCCAGGTTTTTTCATTTTGTTGGCTGGTTTTGCTGTTTAGAGAAAGGAATCAGTTAAAAAGGTATAATAAATTGTACTGTGTTTAGAGATCTTTAACACAGAAAACAACATCCATTTCAAAATCTCTGCCTGGGATTTATTCCTAAAATATTCTTAAATTTTCCAAAATTTCAGTCTCGATATTCTTATACAATTAAAAAGAGTGTAGCCTGCAAGCTTTTTTTTCCTACCCCCCTCTGGCAATGACTTGCTCGCGGAATAACTATCTGGTCCCAGTTTTTCAAAAGCTGGATAACGCTATCCATTGGATCAATCACTATCCCGTGGATAAGCATAAGGGAAATCAATTGCACTATCCAGTGGATAGAGATTTATCTGATGCTATCCACCTTTTTAAAAACTGTAGCTTAAGGATATTATTATCATTATTAAATGTTATTATTATATTATTATGCATTATTATGCAGCTGGCACAGGTTGTTCAAATGTGGAATAGTGCTATCTACCAGATATTAATCACTATTTAAGTATTGTGGAAACCAATAACATTGCTGTTGTCAATGTGCCATTAATATTGCGTGAAACATTGGACAGAGATTTATCCGGTGGTAGTGTTATCCAGCTTTTGTACAGCTTGATGATTGATTCCATGTGATACAGTTAGTGAATGTTTGGCTTTTTTAAACAAATGGCTGCTCCATTTAGCTGATGTCTTATGGGGAGGAAAATCAGACAAGCCATAAAAACATAAATTCTCTGTCTCTGTTGGAGGTTAAGTCCATGTGGACCATGAACTTAATCTGAAATGCAATGTTCTTCGTATCATTTGAGATATCAACAGCTTTTATGACAGATTATGATTGTTGTTTACCTCTACTGTTTGTAAGCCAATTTTTTCTACAAAGAACAGAGTCTAGTGAAAATTGTCAAACACAATGGGGGAAAAAGTCATGTTCACCACGCTCACATTTACATCAAAGTCAAGTTTATTTGTATTAGCATATCTTAAAAAAACTCTGTTCAAACTTTGCTTCATAGCCTGTAAAATTAATAAGAAAATACATTTGCTACAAAGAGAGAGGGAAAAGGCTGTTCAGAGCTATCTGTTTGGTTAAAATAATAATTAATATGTGAAGTTTTACTGATGTCAGGCAAAGGATTGGCAACAGATTATCAAAATAATATTGATTTATCAACCCATAACTGGATGAGTCATTAGCCTGCATCACAGACAAAACTTAACTCTGGTTAAGTCAGTCTGTAAAACAAGCATCAAAATCCTTGTTCTGGGCCTTTTTTTGTCTACCAGGATTTGAGCATGCACCATGACTGGCCTGTTAGAAAAGCCATTGTGAATTTATCAATCAGGATGAAAGGAAATTCAAAACACTTTTTTATTAATTCATTAAGTCTGGGGGGGACCCAGAATAAGAACAAGGATCACAATGCTGCTTTGCAGATGTTACTAACCAAGGTTAAATTATTTCTGCAATACAGGCTAGTTGCTAATCTCTTTAGTTCATTTAATTAATTCTTTTAATTCCCCAGTATATCAGAGTTTTTTCTGGAATTTCTCCAAACAAGTTGACGGAAATGCAATGTAGTTCCTTCAAATGTGACCTTTGGTTCTTGTAAAACCATGTCTACCTCCCTTTGCTCAGAAAACCTGACAATGCAAGGAGTCTGGTTATTTCTAAGTACTTGACGCCTGTCAAAAAATACTCCAATTGGCACAATGTCAAAAGCTTTTTTAAGGTAGTGCCTTATAAGAGCTACACCTGTTGATAATGGAAGGCCTTCCACTGACAGTTTTAAATGCCGGAGCTTATCTGGGAGGTCAACAGCTTGGTCTCTATGTTTTGCAACATTTACATCTAATCCGTTAATGACATGATAACTCTTCTGTGTTATTTCTTCTACTACAGCTGCAGAAGAGAAACGAATAAAAGCCACATTGCGTTTTCCCTCTTCACCAGACATAAGTGGGATGTTGACAAGTAATTCCACCCACTCTACATCCCCAAATGCTAAGAAGTGATCTCTCAGATTTTCAACAGTAAGCTGGTCTGGTACTGATGTTAGGACCAGCTTTTTGGTTTTTCCAATGATATGGCTTGACTGTGGAAATTCTATCACTTGCGATTCAGTTCTTTGCTCCCCGATTCTTTGTAGTGGTAGTTGTAAGGCTTCTTGCACACCTGATAAGGATGCAAACATGACATAGTAGCTGCTTAGATTTTCATCTGCGGGATCATGCTGGGCCAAAAACACCTTATTTACTTTACCAAACTGAGAAAAGTGATCTTCGATTGCTTGTTTGCTTGTGCTCCTTAAAACTTTTTTCACAAGAACAGTAAGATTTCTTTTTCCTTGAATAGCCATAGTTTGATTTCTTAAAGGAGCCACCTTGAGAGTCTGACCATCAATTATATGAGGTTCTTCGACTGCCAGGACTTTTTGAGCAACATGTACATCGCGAAATGTCACGAACCCAAATCCTCGACCGGACGGATCGCGAGGAGATTTAGTGGGAAATTCCATGAGCTCAACTTCGCCAAAACTCGAAAAGTATTTGAACAACTCGTCCTTTGCGATTTGACGATTCTCTTTGGTAGTCTGTCCTTTAAAGAGATTACCAACGTAAATTTTTCTTAGGTTGATATTGTAATTTGAAGAAGACGAACGAGCGCTTGGCAAGCCACGTGGTGCATCTTCTTCGAGTTCACGAGCTTTAACCGACGTCGACAAGACTCTCTCTTGACCCGCATGCAATAAAGAATACCGATGAAGATTGACTGAAGGAAACAAATGTTTGGATACACTGAAGACTCTATTTGTGAGGGCATTTCTCCAACACAGCTGATGCAAGAAGGCCGCCATGTTGGATATTTGCCTTCCAAATGAAGAATCATGGGAAATATTTTGCAACGGCGGGGAGGACTGGGAAATAATACTCTTATCAAGATGGCGGCTTACACATGACATCGCAAAATTCCTCGAAATTATTTGCATGTCTGTTGACGAATTCTTTCTTCGTCAGGACTTAGTGTTGTTTTTCAACAGGAAAAAGGATTTATGCATTGATTTAGTTGTTAAAGTCGCTTGATGCAGCTGCATATTCTCAAAGTATCTTGAATCAACAATCTTCTCACGGCATGGATGTTGCTAATTTCCTGTCTGCTGTTTTTCCGTCGAAGGAAGACGAAAATATTGCGACTCCAAGGTAACAAAAATCCGTGATATCCTCAGTAAGACCTAGTTAAATGTTTTAAATGCTTTTCCGTTGGTAAAAGGTGGAGCATTCGTCAAAAAGGCACATTCTTTAAAGAAGAAATAAGGTCAATTTTGGATGTGTCAAAAATATGATGACGGCGATGGCTAGCTTGAGACCACGCCCTCTCCCCATTATCTCTATGTCTTTTTAAAATTTTTTCCTATCTCTTCTCTCCTCTTAAAAAAAGGAAAAGAAAAGAGGAAGAGAAAAACACGTAAATGCAGGATGGCTAGATTGCAGAAGCCCCTGCAGTCCTCCAGTCGTCCAATTTGCATAGTAAATTCTGACATTGACAGGGGGAGTTCTGGACTGTGGGAGCACTAGTATACCTTGTTCTATAAGCACACTAGTTACTCGACATTGACTACAGGAGTACGGGACTGTGGGAGCACTAGTTGTGTACCCACTTAAGATTCACTTTTCTGCAACTGCGGGAGAAGCACTTGTTTTACTTACTTTAATAGAGTGAAGTATTCAGCATAATAGAACACGACTGCAGGACTGTGGAAGCGGGTTTTCGAGGAAGACATTTAGTAAGCTGGATATTCTGGAATTGCTCCTTCAGGATATGATGATGATGATGGTGATAATGATGATTATGTTTATTTATTTAATGTTTTTATTTATTTGTATTTTTTGTCATTATTTGTAATGGTCTTGTTATGGTTTTTGTCACCCTTGCAGAAGGTTATTGGAGTATGGCACCCTTCAAAATCATATTGATGAGATTCTAGCCCAATATGATGAGGAACCAAAACCAGGTATGCTTCTCCCTGTGATTAACAATGATTAATATTGGAGTACATGCATCTTAAAGGGTGAAACCTGCGCTGTCATTAAGGGCCAGAGACCGGAGATTTCCCCCAGCAACTATGAACATGTTCCCCAGCTACTTTTATAGGAATTAAAAGAAAAATGGAACTGAAAGAACTTCCTTCAGTCTGTAGCTGTTGAATAATAATGTTGAATAAACCAGCAACTTGAAATCTTAGCGATAGCCCTGAAACTTTCATTTTATTTAAAGAAATTCCGGCCCAGGCCCTAATGGAAAGAGTGAACAAATGTGGAATGACCCTTGTATTTATCCTTTAGTTTGAAATGTCAGACTGCTGCAAAAATGAAAGATGGTAAATTTTAAGCTAGGTAATTGAACATGTGAAAGATGTGATAATGAGAATGCTGGGTAGAGAACATGATGTGACCGGTAACTTTTCTTGAACAGTACTGTACTCAGGCTACAGCCGTTTGAAAGTCTGTCTTTATTGGTTTGAGACATTGCTGGTTTACTTAAAATATTTACTCCAAAAATATTTGAATTTTCCTAGTAGTAACCAAAGGTTAGGAAGTGCTGGGATTAATCAAAGGTCAAAATGCTCTTGCTCCAATGCTCTACTGTTTTTAAGTTTCATGTGATAGAAGGCCAAAATGCACATGATCAGATAATTAGCTATAGAAGGTCCAAACAAGTGTGATCAGATTGCCCTTTGTGCATACCATTATTTATTCTAAGTAGAAGTTCAAACAAATGCTGGTTACATACGTGTCATGCATACACAATAGCTGCCTGGAAATTAACTGTGATTTCTTTTCCTCCCAAAGAGCTTGATGCTGAGGAAAGAGCATTAACTGATGGTAGAATTGGACCAGGTAATGTGGGGATTGACAGAGCAAGTCTTTGCGGGTCAATGACTATCAAAGATGGAATGGAGGTATGGCAGACATTTATTTGTAATTATGTTGTACTGAAAAGCCCAGTAGTTAATTACAAGGATACTCTAAAGTGTAACCCTGATGAACTTTTAACAAAAACTATATTGCTGTTTAGATTGAAAGCAAAGGCAATTTCAGCAGTGTAAGGGCCAATGCCTGTGTTTGCAAAGGTAGGTGCTGGTATATGCTATTGAATATATTTTCATTTAATGATCACCAAGGGGAAAAGGTTCCGATTGTCTCAACTAATTCCGTAAAAAAATGTATGGAGATCAGTCGGGAGAATTTGTATGCATATATTGAGGTTAATTCTTAACCAGTTGACTGCTGTTTTCTTTGAAGGAAAATGGATGTATGAGATTCTTTTGGGTTCTAAAGGAATCATGCAGCTGGGATGGGCAACTTTACTATGCAAATTCACCAATGAGGTATGCGAAAAGTTAGTTTTCTATCCTTTTAGTCTCTTGATAATATTCCATGATGCATTATTATTCATGCTTAATTCAATGTTTAATTTCTTACCAAAGGAAGGTGTTGGTGACACTCCTGACTCTTTTGCTTATGATGGCCATCAATGTCTTCATGTGGAAAACGAACAAAAGCCACATTGGCATCTTTGTCAAAACTGTAAGACGCATTGCCACCATGTACAATGAAGTCAACACACTCAACAATGCCAAACTTTTCAAAGTAATCTCTTAAGTTTTCCACATTTAAATCATCAGGAACTGACGTTATGGAGATACATTTAGTTTTTCCTGAGAATTCCTTGGGTTTACGTGGGAACTCCATGACTTGTGCATCAATGTCTTGGTTTGCGATCTTTTGGGTTGGTTGTTCAAGTGCTTTCTTCACTGCAGATAATGACCTAAACATCACGTAGTAGCTGCAAAGATTTTGGTCTTTTGGATCCTTCTGAGCTAAGATCACTTTATTGACTTCTCCAAATTGAGAAAAGTGATCTTCAAGCTCCTTTCTGCAAACGTTCTTTGATATCTTGTTCACAAGCACAGTCAATTCTTTCTTTTGACGTTCAGCTGGCTTCGCCATTTTCAATGGAATGTCTACCTTGACGTTATGACCATCGATAATGTGGGAGTCTGCTCTTGCAAGAACTTTCTGAGCACTTTTGGCATCGCGAAACGTCACAAAGGCGAACCCTCGAGGGAAATTAGTAAGCTTATGGCGAAAGTATTCCAGTTTCTCAATCTCACCATACTGCGAGAAATATTTAAAAACTGTATCCTCAGTAGTGTAATCTTTACCCTTCAGAAGATTTCCAACGTGTAGTCTCCGGATACTTGTGTCAACTGTTCTCAGATCTCTCTTTTCTTCATGTCCAGTAGATTGTACTTCACTCAAGTCTGTCGACGTTGAAAAGACATTCTGCACGTTGAGAGATCGTAAAAGTGGAAGAAACGATGGGCCAGTGCGGCAGAATACAGAATTTGCGGATGTTGATCGTAGGAGGAACAGCGCCATCTTGGATTCTTGAGAGTATCCTTAAGTACGAAATGAATCATGGGAAGCACTTTCGTCGTGCCAGTACTCCTCTTTAGCCGCGGTCTCGCGGGAAGCGAGAAAAGTACTCGAGACTCGTGAACACCTTATAAACAGCCAATCTCGACCCCCAGGCGCGCGGCAAAAGATGCTTCAATGCCCAAATGCCACACCATCTGCTCGACCCAGTTCCGTCATGCGTGGAAGAGCTCTGGGGTTGAGAGTGATAAACAGCCACTTGATCCAACTGCAAAAAATGAATTAAATGACCACTGATGATCATGGTCTAGCCTTCCAAGCAAACTTCTTCAGGGCCATCATACCGCAGCTGTCCTTCCAATGAAGAACTGCCCTGAGCCGGTGTAAGAGCCAAGACAAGGACCCATCTGGGAAAAGCTATGTAAAAGGCGGACGACTAAATTTAAAGTCTGATATCAATTACAGCTAGTGCAGGTTTTTTCGTTTTGTTGGCTAGTTTTGCCGTTTAGAGAAAGGAATCAGTTAAAAAGGCATGATAAATTGTACTGTGTTTAGAGATCTTCAACACAGAAAACAATATCCATTTCAAAATCTCAGCCTGGGGTTTATTCCTAAAATATTCTTAAATTTTCCAAAATTTCAGTCTTGATATTCTTATACAAAAAAGGGTGTAGCCTGCAAGCATTTTTTCCCACCCCCTCTGGCCATGACTTGCTCGCGGAATAACTTTCTGGCCCCAGTTTTTCAAAAGCTGGATAACGCTATCCATTGGATCAATCACTATCCCGTGGATAAGCATAAGGGAAATCAATTGCACTATCCAGTGGATAGAGTTTATCTGATGCTATCCACCTTTTTAACAAATGTAGCTTAAGGATATTATTATTATTATTAAATGTTATTATTATATTATTATGCATTATTATGCAGCTGGCACAGGTTGTTCAAATGTGGAATAGTGCTATATACCAGATATTAATCACTATCTAAGTATATGTATTGTGGAAACCAATAATATTGCTGTTGTCAATGTGCCATTAATATTGCATGAAACATTGGACAGAGATTTATCCGGTGGTAGTGTTATCCAGCTTTTGTACAGCTTGATGATTGATTTCATGTGATACAGTTAGTGAATGTTTGGCTTTTTTAAACAAATGGCTGCTCCATTTAGCTGATGTCTTAGGGAGAGGAAAATCAGACAAGCCATAAAAACATTAATTCTCTGTCTCTGTTGGAGGTTAAGTCCATGCGGACCATGAACTTAATCTGAAATGCAATGTTCTTTGTATCATTTGAGATATCAACAGCTTTTATGACAGATTATGATTGTTGTTTACCTCTACTGTTTGTAAGCCACTTTTTCTGCAAAGAACAGAGTCTGGTGAAAATTGTCAAACACAATGGAGGAAAAAGTCATGTTCACCATGCTCACATTTACATCAAAGTCAAGTTTATTTGTATTAGCATATCTTAAAAAAACTCTGTTCAAACTTTGCTTCATAGCCTGTAAATAAGAAAATACATTTGCTACCAAGAGAGAGGGAAAAGGCTGTTCAGAGCTATCTGTTTGGTTAAAATAATAATTAATATGTGAAGTTTTACTGATGATAGCCAAAGGACTAGCAACAGATTATCAAAATAATGATTTATCAACACATAACTGGATGAGTTATTAGCCTGCATCACAGACAAAACTTAACTCTGGTTAAGTCCATCTGCGAAACAAGCACTGGAATCCTTGTTCAGGGCCCCTTCCTGTCTACCAGGATTTGAGCACACACCATGACTGGCCTGTTAGAAAAGCCATTGTCAGTTTGCCAATCAGGATGAAAGGAAATTCAAAACACCAATTCATTAAGTCTCTGGGGGACCCACAACAAGGCTCACAATGCTGCTTTGTAGATGTTCGTAAGCAAGGTTAAATTATGTCTGCAATACAGGCTAGTTGCTTATCTCTTTAGTTCATTTAATTAATTCTTTTAATTCCCCAGTATATCAGAGTTTTTTCTGGAATTTCTCCAAACAAGTTGACGGAAATGCAATGTAGTTCCTTCAAATGTGACCTTTGGTTCTTGTAAAACCATGTCTACCTCCCTTTGCTCAGAAAACCTGACAATGCAAGGAGTCTGGTTNATCTCTTTAGTTCATTTAATTAATTCTTTTAATTCCCCAGTATATCAGAGTTTTTTCTGGAATTTCTCCAAACAAGTTGACGGAAATGCAATGTAGTTCCTTCAAATGTGACCTTTGGTTCTTGTAAAACCATGTCTACCTCCCTTTGCTCAGAAAACCTGACAATGCAAGGAGTCTGGTTATTTCTAAGTACTTGACGCCTGTCAAAAAATACTCCAATTGGCACAATGTCAAAAGCTTTTTTAAGGTAGTGCCTTATAAGAGCTACACCTGTTGATAATGGAAGGCCTTCCACTGACAGTTTTAAATGCCGGAGCTTATCAGGGAGGTCAACAGCTTGGTCTCTATGTTTTGCAACATTTACACCTAATCCGTTAATGACATGATAACTCTTCTGTGTTATTTCTTCTACTACAGCTGCAGAAGAGAAACGAATAAAAGCCACATTGCGTTTTCCCTCTTCACCAGACATAAGTGGGATGTTGACAAGTAATTCCACCCACTCTACATCCCCAAATGCTAAGAAGTGATCTCTCAGATTTTCAACAGTAAGCTGGTCTGGTACTGATGTTAGGACCAGCTTTTTGGTTTTTCCAATGATATGGCTTGACTGTGGAAATTCTATCACTTGCGATTCAGTTCTTTGCTCCCCGATTCTTTGTAGTGGTAGTTGTAAGGCTTCATGCACACCTGATAAGGATGCAAACATGACATAGTAGCTGCTTAGATTTTCATCTGCGGGATCATGCTGGGCCAAAAACACCTTATTTACTTTACCAAACTGAGAAAAGTGATCTTCGATTGCTTGTTTGCTTGTGCTCCTTAAAACTTTTTTCACAAGAACAGTAAGATTTCTTTTTCCTTGAATAGCCATAGTTTGATTTCTTAAAGGAGCCACCTTGAGAGTCTGACCATCAATTATATGAGGTTCTTCGACTGCCAGGACTTTTTGAGCAACATGTACATCGCGAAATGTCACGAACCCAAATCCTCGACCGGACGGATCGCGAGGAGATTTAGTGGGAAATTCCATGAGCTCAACTTCGCCAAAACTCGAAAAGTATTTGAATAACTCGTCTTTTGCGATTTGGCGATTCTCTTTGGTAGTCTGTCCTTTAAAGAGATTACCAACGTAAATTTTTCTTAGGTTGATATTGTAATTTGAAGAAGGTGAACGAGCGCTTGGCAAGCCACGTGGTGTATCTTCTTCGAGTTCACGAGCTTTAACCGACGTCGACAAGACTCTCTCTTGACCCGCATGCAATAAAGAATACCGATGAAGATTGACTGAAGGAAACAAATGTTTGGATACACTGAAGACTCTATTTGTGAGGGCGTTTCTCCAACACAGCTGATGCAAGAAGGCCGCCATTTTGGATATTTGCCTTCCAAATGAAGAATCATGGGAAATTTTTGCAACGCCGGGGAGGACTGGGAAATAATACTTTTATTAAGATGGCGGCTTACACATGACATCGCAAAATTCCATGAAACTATTTGCATGTCTGTTGACGAATTCTTTCTTCGTCAGGACTTAGTGTTGTTTTTCAACAGGAAAAAGGATTTATGCATTGATTTAGTTGTCAAAGTCGCTTGATGCAGCTGCATATTCTCAAAGTATCTTGAATCAACAATCTTCTCACGGCATGGATGTAGCTAATTTCCTGTCTGCTGTTTTTCCGTCGAAGGAAGACGAAAATATTGCAACTCCAAGGTATCAAAAATCTATGATATCCTCAGTAAGACCTAGTTAAATGTTTTAAATGCTTTTCCATTGGTAAAAGATGGAGCATTCGTCAAAAAGGCACATTCTTTAAAGCACAAAATTAATAAGGTCAATTTTGGATGTGTCAAAAATATGATGAGTGCGATGGCTAGCTTGAGACCACGCCCTCTCCCCATTATCTCTATGTCTTTTTGAAATTTTTTCCTATCTCTTCTCTCCTCTTAAAAAAAGGAAAAGAAAAGAGAAAGAGAAAAACACGTAGATGCAGGATGGCTAGATTGCAGAAGCCCCTGCAGTCCTCCAGTCGTCCAATTTGCATAGTAAATTCTGACATTGACAGGGGGTGTGCTGGACTGTGGGAGCACTAGTATACCTTGTTCTATAAGCACACTAGTTACTCGACATTGACTACAGGAGTACGGGACTGTGGGAGCACTAGTTGTGTACCCACTTAAGATTCACTTTTCTGCAACTGCGGGAGAAGCACTTGTTTTACTTACTTTAATAGAGTGAAGTATTCAGCATAATAGAACACGACTGCAGGACTGTGGAAGCGGGTTTTCGAGGAAGACATTTAGTAAGCTGGATATTCTGGAATTGCTCCTTCAGGATATGATGATGATGATGGTGATAATGATGATTATGTTTATTTATTTAATGTTTTTATTTATTTGTATTTTTTGTCATTATTTGTAATGGTCTTGTTATGGTTTTTGTCACCCTTGCAGAAGGTTATTGGAGTATGGCACCCTTCAAAATCATATTGATGAGATTCTAGCCCAATATGATGAGGAACCAAAACCAGGTATGCTTCTCCCTGTGATTAACAATGATTAATATTGGAGTACATGCATCTTAAAGGGTGAAACCTGCGCTGTCATTAAGGGCCAGAGACCGGAGATTTCCCCCAGCAACTATGAACATGTTCCCCAGCTACTTTTATAGGAATTAAAAGAAAAATGGAACTGAAAGAACTTCCTTCAGTCTGTAGCTGTTGAATAATAATGTTGAATAAACCAGCAACTTGAAATCTTAGCGATAGCCCTGAAACTTTCATTTTATTTAAAGAAATTCCGGCCCAGGCCCTAATGGAAAGAGTGAACAAATGTGGAATGACCCTTGTATTTATCCTTTAGTTTGAAATGTCAGACTGCTGCAAAAATGAAAGATGGTAAATTTTAAGCTAGGTAATTGAACATGTGAAAGATGTGATAATGAGAATGCTGGGTAGAGAACATGATGTGACCGGTAACTTTTCTTGAACAGTACTGTACTCAGGCTACAGCCGTTTGAAAGTCTGTCTTTATTGGTTTGAGACATTGCTGGTTTACTTAAAATATTTACTCCAAAAATATTTGAATTTTCCTAGTAGTAACCAAAGGTTAGGAAGTGCTGGGATTAATCAAAGGTCAAAATGCTCTTGCTCCAATGCTCTACTGTTTTTAAGTTTCATGTGATAGAAGGCCAAAATGCACATGATCAGATAATTAGCTATAGAAGGTCCAAACAAGTGTGATCAGATTGCCCTTTGTGCATACCATTATTTATTCTAAGTAGAAGTTCAAACAAATGCTGGTTACATACGTGTCATGCATACACAATAGCTGCCTGGAAATTAACTGTGATTTCTTTTCCTCCCAAAGAGCTTGATGCTGAGGAAAGAGCATTAACTGATGGTAGAATTGGACCAGGTAATGTGGGGATTGACAGAGCAAGTCTTTGCGGGTCAATGACTATCAAAGATGGAATGGAGGTATGGCAGACATTTATTTGTAATTATGTTGTACTGAAAAGCCCAGTAGTTAATTACAAGGATACTCTAAAGTGTAACCCTGATGAACTTTTAACAAAAACTATATTGCTGNTTTGAATTTCCAAAGTGTGGTAAGCGAAGTCCCCATTTTAAAATTCTGGAAATTCCTGGGGGGAGGGGGGGTCATCAAAGACCCCCTGGAACGGAAAATCCTGGGGGGTGGGGGGGTGCAAATCAAAGTGTCTTCCGTGGTGGGGGTATGGATATTTTCTGGAACCACACATTTGTATTTTTTGTCATTATTTGTAATGGTCTTGTTATGATTTTTGTCACCCTTGCAGAAGGTTATTGGAGTATGGCACCCTTCAAAATCATATTGATGAGATTCTAGCCCAATATGACGAGGAACCAAAACCAGGTATGCTTCTCCCTGTGATTAACAATGATTATTATTGGAGTACATGCATCTTAAAGGGTGAAACCTGCGCTGTCATTAAGGGCCGGAGACTGGAGATTTCCCCCAGCAACTATGAACATGTTCCCCAGCTACTTTTATAGGAATTAAAAGAAAAATGGAACTGAAAGAATTTCCTTCAGTCTGTAGCTGTTGAATAATAATGTTGAATAAACCAGCAACTTGAAATCTTAGCGATAGCCCTGAAACTCTCGTTTTATTTAAAGAAATTCCGGCCCAGGCCCTAATGGAAAGAGTGAACGAATGTGGAATGACTCTTGTATTTATCCTTTAGTTTGAAATGTCAGACTGCTGCAAAAATGAAAGATGGTAAATTTTAAGCTAGGTAATTGAACATGTGAAAGATGTGATAATGAGAATGCTGGATAGAGAACATGATGTGACCGGTAACTTTTCTTGAACAGTACTGTACTCAGGCTACAGCCATTTGAAAGTCTGTCTTTATTGGTTTGAGACATTGCTGGTTTACCTGAAATATTTACTCCAAAAATATTTGAATTTTCCTAATAGTAACCAAAGGTTAGGAAGTGCTGGGATTAATCAACGGTCAAAATGCTCTTGCTCCAATGCTCTACTGTTTTTAAGTTTCATGTGATAGAAGGCCAAAATGCACATGATCAGATAATGAGTTACAGAAGGTCCAAATAAGCATGATCAGATTGGCTTCTGTGGAAACCATTATTTATTCTAAGTGGAAGTCCAAACAAAATTTGGCTACATACATGTCACCCATACACAATAGCTGCCTGGAAATTCACTGTGATTTCTTTTCCTCCCGTTCAAAGAGCTTGATGCTGAGGAAAGAGCATTAACTGATGGTAGAATTGGACCAGGTAATGTGGGGATTGACAGAGCAAGTCTTTGTGGGTCAATGACTATCAAAGATGGAATGGAGGTATGGCAGACATTTATTTGTAAATATGTTTTACTGAAAAGCCCAGTAGTTAATTACAAGGATACTCTAAAGTGTAACCCTGATTAACTTCTAACAAAACTATATTGCTGTTTAGATTGAAAGCAAAGGCAACTTCAGCAGTGTAAGGGCCAATGCCTGTGTTTGCAAAGGTAGGTGCTGGTATATGCTATGGAATATATTTTCATTTAATGATCACCTATGGGAAAAGGTTCTGATTCTCTCAACTAATTCCGTAAAAAAATGTATGGAGATCAGTTGGGAGAATTTGTATGCATATATTGGGGTTAATTCTTAACCATTTGACTGCTGTTTCTTTGAAGGAAAATGGATGTATGAGATTCTTTTGGGTTCTAAAGGAATCATGCAGCTGGGGTGGGCAACTTTACTATGCAAATTCACCAATGAGGTATGCGAAAAGTCAGTTTTCTATCCTTTTAGTCTCTTGATAATATTCCATGATGCATTATTATTCATGCTTAATTCAATGTTTAATTTCTTACCAAAGGAAGGTGTTGGTGACACTCCTGACTCTTTTGCTTATGATGGCCATCGTGTTAGGAAATGGAATGTGACAACTGGAAAATATGGAGAGGTATGATCAGGCAGCTGTTGGTTACATATTTGATGCATTCCACAATAAATTTGTACTTAGGCAAGAGGTATGCCCAGGACTATTGCTAATCCCTCTGGATAAAATGCTAGTCCATTGCAGGGTTACCCCCCAGCAGTATGTCACTGGTCTCCACAAAGTGGAGAAAAATTCCTTGTCTAAGGAAACAGCACGATGTTAGGGGCTTGAACTGTGGACCTCAAGATCCTGAGTTTAAGGTGTTAACCGCTCGGTCACACACACCTACAC